TGTCTGCCAGCAGCCACTGACTGGCTTTAGTAAGACCCCGGCGTCGGCACTTCCTGGCCCCACGAATTCAGGTGTGTGGAAGCCGGTCTGGGAGAACTCAGCAGGGTTAGGAACCTCAGCCTGCACCTGCGTGACTGCCTGGCCCCTCAGCGACTTTGTGGACTCACCCAGCTGAGTAGTCTACTTTTCCCGCCACACAAGGGGCAATTTTCATGATTCCTGAAAGATGTCGTAGTTTTGTTCCCATGAGGCTATTTCATCCTGGGGCTTGGCGCCAGGCTTTGGGGTTCAAATCCTGGTTCTGCCACTTCCCTAGGTGGGAGACCTTGGGCAAGTTGCTCAACCTCTCTGTGCCTCAGTTTCCTCATTTGTGAAATGAGAATAATAAACCTACCTTATGGAGTTGTTGAGAAAGTTAAAGGAACGAAAAAGAAGAGTTAAAGGAGAGTTAAAGAGCTTTACAGAAACACTTAATGCAGGGCTTAGCACTGTACTAGGTGCTCAAAAGCAGCAGCTCCTTCTAATAGGATGAAAACTAATGTTGAGTTGATCGCCTGTTTGCTATGCAGACGCAACTGCAGTTTCACCCACTGAATTCTCACAACCACCTGGTTAGGCCCACATTGCCCCTACTTTCCCACGAGGAAATGGAGACTCCACGTGGCCCCGGGACTTGTTCAGAGTCACACGGCTAGGTCGTGGCATAGCCTGACACCGTTTGCGCCGGTGAGTGCCACCATTTAGCCCTGGGCTGAAGAGCAAAGTCCCAGCCAATGCCTCTGTTTGCTCGCTTTGATCCGTGCCCTCGTATTACAGTGCATCTCTTTGGATTTTGGCTTAATCGGAACCCAGTTATCTGCCTTGTAAACTCTTGCAGGGCAAAAGCCCCATCTGAGATATCACATTTCTGCCACTCGACTTCCTTGATCCTGAGAACACTGCCTGAGGTGTTTGTTCAGAGAAGAGATCCTCTGGCATTTCTGCTGGAGTCTGACTCAGGAACCATGGAGTGGAATTTAAAATTTGATTTTTTTTTTTTTAAACCCCAGTAACTGGGAATTCTTCTGATAAAGCAGGTTTGGAACCTTTTGCTGCGTGGAATTAGAGCTCCCCCTGCCGGTGAGAAGAGGATGACAGACACAGGCACTCGCCCCCTTTTCCTATAGGTGTCTTTCTTGCCTTGTGATGAATCCGGGTTCTATGGAAAGTAACCTGACAGGGTGATCTGATCATAATTCCTAACTGGGCAGGTCAGGGTGGGTAGTCACGCCCCTAGGCATATGACTTTTTTAGTAAAAGGTTTATCTTTACCTTAAGTAAGCCTTGTCCATTGTTTCTGTGCATCTAGGTTAACACACCCTTGAAATAAGTAAAACCACCAAGAAAAACACATAATCTTATCCTGTCATCTGATCTCTGCCTTGCTCTCTCTCACTTTCATGTAATCTTCCTTGATTCAAATGCATAAAGAGGCTGCAAACTGCCGTTCTAAGGTTGCATTTGAGATCTTGTTTCTCAGCAATTGCCATCAGTTTGGCTCAGACCAAATCTCATAAAAATTCCTCATGGGTTCGGAAGTTTTTATGTAGACAGCCTCAAGTCTTTGTTCTGCCCCAGGGGTCACTACGAGCCCAGATCAGAGCTGGGCAGGGGCAAGGCCAGTAAAATGAAGGTCAAGATTCTCCCTGCTCCCGAAAAATTTAAAATTTGGATTGACAAGACACCGTCAGGTACTCACGAGAAAAGGTGGGGTAGTGGGGCTGGGAGGAAGAACAGGAGTTTGAATACCGGTGGGCCTTGAGGATGGGGTGGGCGTAATTGAATTCTAAGAGTGCTCTGAGATTGGCTGACAGCACCCTCTTGAGCTGCTAAGGCCGAGGAGAAACCTTATGCCTTGCTGGGACTTTGCTTTGCAAACATCTGCTCGCCCAGTAGGGCAGAATGGAGGTAAAGCTCAGAGCTACCTTGGACTGCATTCCCACAGGGTCCAGGGGATCTGCTAGGTCTGCAAGTCCCAAACTTGGCGCCAGGATTTTTGAAAGGAACACAGCGACCTCTGTTGGCCACCTTGGAAACTACCAGCTCAAGGTTGTTCGCAGTTTGAATGTCAGGTGGAGCCCCGTCCCTTAGGTGACGTCACAACTTTGCGAAGCTGGGCTTACGGCAGTTGTTCTGCTGAAAAGCAAGTATCATGCCAAAATGAGCGTGGAACAGGAAATAAAGGTGGCGACGTTCAATCTAATTCCAGGGCCTGAGCAGCTGTGTAGTGTTTATGATTATTTAAGAAGAAACTAAAATATGTTTTCTTTCAATCCATGTGCATTTTCAAGCAGTTACTAAGTTGTTAGGACATACATACTTTTTAGTCGTTTTGACCTAACTACTTACTAAATGTAACTGTTGTTTTTTGTGAGCATGGGAGGTGCTGTGAAAAAATTACTGCGACACCACAGGAACCTTGAACCCTAACAGTTGGGGACCCCTGCATTATGCTCTTTACAACTTTACAAAAAGCTGCCGTATGCAAGTCTAGGAGATCGTATCTCTGTTTAACAGACAAGTCAAAAAAGACGAACTCATCTGCCTGAGGCCTCCCAGCATGGGGTTTGGGATGTGTGTGGGGCCGGCGACATTTCAACCAGGTCCTGTGTGATCCTCAAAAAGGTGAACTGCCACTCCCCACCTCGAGTCCATTCAGGTTTGTGCCCTGGCTGTGGAGAGGGCAGGCTGGGGGCTGGGGCCAGCTCCTTCTGTTTGTCATGCCCACCATTTACGGGAGAGCACAGTCAGGTTCCTGAGGTTCCTTCCCATTCATCCCTCCTCAGGGGGCTCAGACAATAGCCTCTGTGTGTACTGGGGCTGGGGACCTCTCCCCTTAGACTCCCTGGAGGCTGTCCCCCCACCCACTGCTGGTTCCCCTGTCAACCAAATCCACCTTCAGTCCCAGAGTCATCTCACCGGCTCAGCCACTGGCTGCAGGAGTTACTGAGTTCGAAGGTTGTGCAAAGGATCCAGGCCCCACCTTTCCCGCTCTTCTGGGTGAAAAGTCACTGAGGGGCCACTGCAGGCAGCAGGCAGCCTCCTGGCAGGAGAAACCAAGCCCTCCGGAGACCCGTGAAGCCACGGAGGGGCAGCACACAGTACCCTCGCTGCCTGGACTGGAGAATTCTGTCTTGGTAGGAAGCTGCCTGACCCCAAAGCTACGTGCATTGGAGGGAAAAGAATTCACTGGAGGGAAGGTGGGGTCCCACCTTCCCAAGGGGCAACTGCCAGCGTCATCCTGTGCAGTCAGGCTGCCTGGCTCTGGGGAACTCTGAGCAAGCCATGTAACCCCGCTGAGCCTCTGTTTCCTCCTCTGCAGAACTGGAATAAAAGCAGTACTGACTTCCTAGGATCAAGCTGAGCACTAAAGCTCAGCACACAGCTAGGTATGCATGGTTAATGCGCAATGACATTGTTAGTCATACAGCAAGTATTATTGAGTATCTACTATGTACGGAGGAGGTGCTATGCTGGGCACTGGGAATGCAGCAGTGAACAAGACAGACACAAGCCCAGCCTTCAGGAGCCTCATATTCCAGCAGAGGAAGCCAGACCCTAAACCACAAACATAATACACAGGTAAATTAGACAGCAGTGCTGTCCAGTAGAAGTATAATGTGAGCCACACATATTTAAATTTTTTGGTAGTCCCAATGCAAAAGTTAAAAAAAAGTGAAATGAATTTTTAAATTTTTAACTTAAAAATTAAATTGTTTTTCTTTTATTGAGTCTAGAGAAAGGGGAAGGGAGGGAGAAAGAGAGGTACAGAAACACCGATGTATGAAAAAAACATTGATCTACTGCCTCTTGCATGCGTCCCAACTGGAGACTGAACCTGCAACCTAGGCATGTACCCTGTCCGGGAATCGAACCCACGACCTCTTGATTTGCAGGATGATACCCAACCAACTGAGCTACCCTGGCCAGGGCTAAAAATATTTTAAACATTTAAAATGTTACCTAATATATCCAACCTATTATCATTTGAACCAGTGGCATTAGTCATGGTTCAAGTGCTGAGTAGCCACAGCTGTCCAGCATGTTAGGTGAGGGCCCAGGGGATTGAGTGCCGGCCTGAGAACCAAGGGGTCGCCGGTTCAATTCCCAGTCAGGGCACATGCCTGGATTGTGGGCCAGATCCCCAGTTGGGGACTCATGGGAGGCAACCACACATTGATGTTTCTCTCCCTCTCTTTCTCCCTTCCTTGCCCTCTCTCTAAAAATAAATAAATAAAATCTTTAAATAAAATGAAGATGTAATTCAGGGTAAGGGGGACTGGAGCACCAGATCCAGGAGTGGACAGACTAGCGCTGACTTGAGGGAAAGAGCTGTTTTCATAGCTCCCTAACCTCGCCTGGCTGCAGGGGCCAATGGCCCCTCCCCCATTCCCCCCGTTGGCAAGCATGAACCAGGTTCTGCAGACCCCGGAGAGAAGCAGACCCTCTGGACGAGCCCCAGCCTGGGGACTGCCTCTCAGCGCCACCTTGCTTACGCCTGTGGGCACCCCTTGTTCTGAGGTCTTAGGTCCACCTCAGGGGACATACTGCAGAATTTCGTCAAGACTTTGGAAGAGGGGAGAGGCGGGTGGGCGGGGGTAGGAAGATGAGTTCTTGCTCAGGGCTGGGATTAAGGAGAGGTGAGTAAAAGTGGGAGCCTGTCTTTCCTTAAAATTTTGCAATTTTGTACATCACAAATACTTTGCATTAATTTAAAATATATTTTACAGATTTATGAATCATAAAATTCATCCCTTTAAAGTACATAATCAGTAGGGTTTAGTATATTCAGAATTGTATAATGTCACCCCATCAATTTTATTTAAAAAATTTTGTTCGAAGATTTTATGGATGTATTTTTTAGAGAGCAGGGAAGGGAGGGAGAAAGAGAGAGAGAGAAACATCAACATGTGAGATATTCATCGATCAGTTGCCTCTCACACACCCCCAACTGGGGACCTGGCCCACAACCCAAGCACGTGCCCTGGCTGGGAATCGAACTGGCAAATTTTTGGTTTGCAGTCCGGCACTCAATCCACTGGGCCACATCAGCCAGGGCCACCCAATCAATTTTAGAACACTTTCGTCATCCCCAAAGAAGCCCCTTACCCATTAAGCAGCTATTTCCTGTTCTGTACCCCCTACCCCCCCCATCCCTGGGGACCGCAAATCTATTTTCTGTCTCTGTGGAGTTGCCTATTCATATAAATGGAATCATTCAATACGAGTCCTGGCTTCTTTAACCCAGCGGTAACACTGCATGGATGGACCCTATTTTATTTATTTATTTTTAGAGAGAGGAGGTGGGAGGGAGAAAGAGAGGGAGAGAAACATCAATGTGTAGTTGCATCTCATGTGCCTCCTACTGGGGACCTGGCCTGCAACCCAGACATGTGCCCTGCCTGGGAATCGAACCAGCGACCCTTTGGTTCGCAGGCCAGCGCTCAATCCACTGAGCCACACCAGCCAGGGCGGATGGACTCCATTTTACCCATCCACTTAGGCACTGATAGATATGTATGATTTTCCCACTTTTTGGCTGCTGTGAACATTCATGTGCAAGTTGTGGTGTGGGCCTACATCTTTCTAATGCTTTTTGGTTTTGCATTCATTTCCATTTTTAAATATGTTGTATAAAAATATATTATTTTTCTTGATTACTCAGTTTTTTCGTGCCCCCTTAAAATTCGCAGTCAAACGCCTGACTGGCTTTACCCTATTCCTATTCTGAAAGTCTCATCCCTTGCTAGCTGTGCGCCTTTGGACAAATTACTCACCCTCTCAGAGCCTCGAGCCTCTGTTTCCTCCTCTGTAGAATGGGGATAATTCCTGTACCTACTCACGGCTGACAGGGGACACAATGATGCGTGTTTCAGACCTGTCACTGTCTCTGGTACACAGTTGACTGAAGTCGGCTTTTCCCATGGGGAGCCTGGTGTCAGGGGTGTCAGGCCTGAGGGGGTGGGTCCCAAAATGGATGTGACCTTTCCCTGCCCTTGAGGAGAGATGGCCCCCCTGCCTAAAACTCCCTGCCGCTTCTATGTCCAAGGGAAACCTGCTGTTTTTCTCTCCTGCCTCAGCCCGACCTCCCTGCAGCAAGGTCCTTGGGGGTGGGACCGGCTGCTCCCCCCGAAGGCCCCCTTAGCTCCCGGCACCTTCCATCCCAGCTGCCCCGGGGGCCCCCCACCGCCGCCTCCCCCACCCTGCGCTCTGCCCACTCCCGTGGAAGGCCGTGGCTCGCTGTCCCTGTGCTGCCATGAGGCCTGCACTTTTCAGGGCTGAAGTCCAAAGTTCAGTCCCTTCGCTAAGCACACGGATAAATATGAACCTTGGAGAATTTCCCCAGCTCCAATGTAAACAGAGCGGGCAGGGGCCCTGATTCACTGGCCGCTGGGGCCAGGGTAGGGGGTTGGGGGTACCCACAGGACTTGGCTAGTGGGGTTTGGGGGGGCGTGGGTGCAAGGAGCCTGCTTTGTGCCTGCTTGCTGGCCGGCTAGCGAGCAGACAGTCCACGAGGTGGGGGAGGTGGCCTGCTCGGTGGCCCCGGGCCTCGTGGCCCAGTGGTAGTGGAGCCATGGTTTCCAAACTGAGCCAGCTGCAGACGGAGCTCCTGGTGGCCCTGCTCGAGTCGGGCCTGAGCAAAGAGGCACTGATCCAGGCTTTGGGCGAGCCAGGGCCCTACCTGCTGGCCGGAGATGGCTCCCTGGACAAGGGGGAGTCCTGCGGCGGTCGAGGGGAGCTGGCCGAGCTGCCCAATGGGCTGGGGGAGACGAGGGCCTCCGAGGACGAGACGGACGACGATGGGGAAGACTTCACGCCGCCCATCCTCAAAGAGCTGGAGAACCTCAGCCCCGAGGAGGCGGCCCATCAGAAAGCCGTGGTGGAGAGCCTGCTGCAGTAAGGACCCCTGCCCTGTCCCCACTCCAAAGTGGCCCCAGAGGGGCCTGGCCTCAGCTCCTGGCCAGCCCTGCCGAGTCCCGAGTTCCATGAGCCGCCGTGACCTTCAGCCTAGGTGTCGGGAAGGGGGACGGGCTGTGAGCTCAGGGCCGGGATCTCCAGTCGGGGGCTGGAGCCCCCGACCTGGTCTTCTGCAGACTCCCGATTCCCCAGTGAGCCGAAGCTTCCCGTGCAGTGCTGGGGAAGCAGCCACATGCCCCGGGGGAGCTCCAAGAGGGGGAAGAAGCAGGAGACTTTACAAACCAAGTGTCTAGAGAACCAGAGAGGGTGGGAATTTTTAGCTACGGCCACTCTTTCTACGCCCCAGACCCTAACTTCCCTGGTGAGCATTCAGATGGCAGGGTCCCGGGCCAGGAAGCACTGCTGGGGAGGGGGGAGGGCAAAGCTGGGGCTTTGGGGGCTCCCCTGGCCGCCCGCCCAGAGACACCAGCATTCAGCCAGGCGTGTCTTACCTGAGGGAAGTGAAGCCTCAGAGCAGGACCCCCCCCTCCTTCCCAGCACTGCCTCCGGCCCCCGCTCACCGGCCGGCGCCATTAGAGGCCTCCCACTGTGCACCCCCATCCACTGGCTGGCTCCCCATCTCCCAGAGAACTGAGTGGGTACGAGCCCGATGCCTCCCCTCTCCTCAGCAGAGCTAACCTGGTTACTAATTACCCACAGGCTTTATTATTTCTCCTTTGTTTTATAAATTTATAAACGGCAAAAGGCTCTGATAAGGCCTGTGATCATTAACTTGTAGAGATGGCGGCCTGGGGAGACCTGGGCCAATGAACCTCCTCCCACCCAGCGGGGGTGGGGGATGGGGAGGGCAGGGGTGGGGGTGGGGAGAGAGGGGCCAGGGGCTAGGGGCCGCGAGGGCTGCCCCTTCCCAAAGCCTCCTTAACCTCCATGGAACAGCGGGGTGCTCCGCTGAGGTGTCACGAGTACGGTGCTGGATAATGCTGAGATGGATCCTGAGAGGAAGTTACAGATCAGCCTGCTTGTCAGATGGGAAACCGAGGCCCAGAGGAGGAAGTAGCTTGTTTAGGGCCACCCAGCAGCGACTACTCGTCCTCCCCCACCCCCCACCCCCGTTTAGCGCTCCCAGTCACCAGGACTTGGGGGCCAGGGGCTAGCTGGCAGGGAGCAGGGCTTCTGAGGAAGAGTCCCAAAGACCGGACTCCCAGGGGGACTATCTCTTTTCTGTCCAAGGTCCTGATCCCAGTTGGGGGTGGGGGAGGGCTAGATCCCCGCCTCGGGGAGTCCTCAGGGTCCGCCAGGCCTCCGGAGGGCCAGGGCAGGGGGCAGGGGAGCAGACAGGCCCCTGACTTGGCAGGAAGTGGAGGGCAAAGGCCCCGCTGGGCTGCAGGGGAGGGGCAACAAGTCCGGGCACGGCAGACCCAGGGCAGGAGCGCCTGGGAGAGGATGGGGCTGGGCCAGACCTGCTCAGGACCCCAGAGGGGAATGGGGGCTTTCAGAGGGGAGTGAGGGGCATGGGGTGCCAAGGGCCTTTCTTACCTGGCTGGGTGGGGCCTCTTGATCAGCAGCCCCTTTGGCGGGATGGTAGGTGGGGGCACGCTTGATCCACAGCACTTGAGGGGGGAGCAGAGGTCAAAGTGCTCCCTGGGGACCAGCAGAGGTGTGGAAGCCGAGGGAGAGAGGGGAGATGGGGAGGAAGAGAGGAGAGGACGTCAGGGGAGATGGAGAGAGGCCTGGAGAAGCAGAGCTGAGCAGAGGAGCCGGAGGGAAGAGGGGCTCACAGCTGGTGGGGAGAAGGGGCTGGGGACAGAGCGAGGTGCCCCGAGCTGAGAGGAGGCTGGCGTGCTCCCGCCCAACCCGATTGGGTTTTCTTTAATGCTAACAGCATGCTATTTACTTTCCATTTAAATTTGAGATGTTGCTATAAATTATCAACCAGCTCCTTGTTCCTGCGGAGTTTATAACTAACTACCTGGGTTACTTATTGTTCAGGTAACAAAAGGGATCTGAAACCACCCCAAGGGAAAAAAGTGGGGCCTGCAGTCTCGGGGCACTGGAAGGAGAGGGGTGGGAGACCCCAGAGGGAGGCCTGGGCGGAGGGGGAGTTTGGAGCTGGGAAGGATGGTCCAGAGGAGGGACTTCTGTGGAAGTCACCGCTCTGGTGAGGACAGTGTGTGGGAAGAGGCAGAGTGGGTCCCCGGTGTCCCCAGGTGCCCTGTGCGTGAGGCCACGGCAGATCTCCACCCTTGGTTCACTGTGTGACCTTGGACACGTCCCTCCTCTGCCTCCTGCCTCCATTTCCCTACCTACTGGACAGTGAGAAAACTTCACACTCCCTGCCCTGGTTCCCTGGCGTCTTCCCGAGGGACTGCCCTCCCTCCCTCCCTTTCCTCCAGTCACACTGTCTTCCCACCTCAGGGCCTTTGCACATGCTGTTCCTGCTGCCTGGAACCCTCTTCCCACAACCAATTCCTTCTCCTCCTTTTGCTCAAATGTCACCTCCTCAGGGAGGACCTCCTTGACTGCTTCATCTAAAGGTATTCACCCCAGTCACTCTCTCTTCAATTAACTTCTTTTACTTACTCCTGTCCCTTATCATTACTTTGTTTTCTATCTCCTGCCGTGAAAACAAGCCCTTTAAGGGCAGAGCTCGTGTGGCCTCACTCACCACTCTCACCCCTACTCCCCAGCCCTGTGGGTGGCACACAGCACGAATGAACAGGTGGCTAGGATTCTCTGAGGCCCTGGGGACCCACCTGTTGCCATGGCCAAGGGGGGGAATCTGTACCTGGGGCTCCTTCCTGGGTGTCTTCCTAGTTCCTCCCAGTCCCTGAGCAGCTCAAACCTCAACCTTGTAGGTCTCTGGTCCTCCCCATTGGGCAGTACCAAAGCAGAGACCCAGGAAGGTGGTGGCTGAGGTGGAACAATCTGACATCTCTGACTGAGGCCAGCCTGCCTGGGTTCGAATCCCAGCTCCCCGACTCTGGCACAGGCAGGCGACTTCACTTTTCTGAGCCGCCGTTGCCTCTGCAGGGTGGTGATAATAACCGGGTTAAGTCGCCTGATAACACGTAGTATGCGTATGTAGCAAGTAGAGTAAACGGTCGCTATTATGAGTCGTTCCATTCTACAGATGAGCAAACGAAGGCTCAGAGGGGCAAAGTGACTTGTCCAAGGTAACTCTTGCAAAGCAGGCAGGCCAGGACTTACACCCAGGCCCGCCAACCCCACGCTCCGCAGGGCGCCCTGGAGGCTGCATGCCCGCCCTCCACGTGTTTATCTCCCTCCTGACCCTCCGCGGTCATTCTGGCCGTTCAGCGTCACCACGGAGTCACCCCCATGCAGTACTCCAGCAAGCACAGGGGCAGCAAACGTGTTAAACCCGTTTCCCCCTCCGGTGAGATATTTGTTGTCAGCTCCACATCACAGCCGCGGAAACCGAGACCCAGGCAGGCTGAGCAGCTTCCCCAGGCCGCCCGGAGAGGAGCGGCAGAGCTGAGACCCCCACTGAGGCAGATGGCCGGCACTGGGAGCTCAGCTCCCTTGCACACGCGTGGGCCTTCAGGGTGGTCTCCCAGCTTCACAGCCTTGGACGCACCAAGACCCCAGAGCCCCTGGAGCGGAAGTCCCAAAGCCTTGAACATCCGATTGGCCCCAGAATGGGTGGGAGGCAGATGTGGGCGGGTCTTCCCCTCCGGGGGGCCCTCTTCCCCCTGCTGCGGGACCGGGGGTCCCGGGACTGCATTGTTGATGACCAGTGTGACAGTGTTGTTCCGTTTACTGGGCAGTGACTGTGGGCCAGGCTCAGAAAGCCTGTCGCCTGTTGACGCACATCCAGTTCTCCCAGGAGCCCTGCGGCTGCCAGGGATGGCCCGCGTGGGTTTCCGGCCGTGTTACCGCGACGGGGCGCAGTGGTGGGACCGGAACCCAGGTCCCTTTGACTTGCCGGCCTGTGAGATGAAGGCTGGGGATACCTGGAGACTTGGTCTCTTAGTTCTGAGTTGGGGAGACTGCCCCTGACCGGAAGAGCCAGGTCCTTGGAGACTGCGTGTGTGTTGGGGGTGGGGGCGGGGAAAGGGGCAGGGAGACACAGACCCCACCCGGGGTCCGGTGGGCAGTGACAGTGCGTCTTCTCTGTGAGCCCCGTGGAGAGGAAGGCTGGGCCCAGTCTCTCTGGGGAAGAGAGCAGGAGGGTGGGCCGTGGTGCTGGGGGGAGGGCGGGTGCTGAGAGGGTGATCACAGCAGTGGTGGGGAGGGGGGTGCGGGGGACAGCCGGCAGCCCAGCTCCAGAGTGAGATAAACATGTTTGCCCTGGAGCACAAGGCTGGACTTTGGCCTGCCCTGCCCTGCTCTCCGAGCTCTGACTGGCGCCCGGGGAGCGGCCACGGTGGACAAGCAGGGAACCCAGGAGACCCTGAAAGCAGGGAGACGGTGGAGCTTGGGGAGAGGTCTGGTGGAGGGGGAAGGGGTCTGTCTGTGCAAAGTGAATCCTGGTGGATTCCCTCCGACAAGTGAGGCTCACCTGTCTGCGCCTCTGTTCTCTCGCCTGTGAAATGGACATAGGAGTAGCACTGACTTCCTAAGGTAGTTGTAGGATTTAAATGACCGGCTCTTGACACAGCGTCTGGCTCACAGAAAAGACTCAAGAAACATGAATTCTCTGGGCTATCATGTTTATACAGATGGCATGTGGCTGTACTGACTGCAGACCGATTTCAATGTATCCGTCCCTACCTCCCTACCTCCCTTCCCTCCCTGCCCAGATGGGAACTGCTGATAAAAATGGAGGAAGTCCGAGGGCCAAAGCCGGCGAAAGGCTCTGTGCTCCCAGTCTCAGATGGGCGTTGTCAAGGGGACCGGCAAAGCCAGTCCTCTGAGAACCAGGAGAAGGGCCCCGGGAAAAGGCAGTGTGGGGTGGGAGGGCGGGTTTTAGAGTCCTGCAGGGCTTGTCTGCTTCAGTGTTTTAGAGTTCAGTTTTCAATATTCTCTCTGCGCATGTCAGATGTTAGGTAACGTGTTTTACGATTTAAAGAGTATGGAAGGGTGACAGGAAACTGCCCCCCTCCCCGTCCCCAACACCCCCTTCCCCTCCCGAGGCCACCAGTGTTGCCACGTCGTCCTCCGGGTCCTTCCACTGCGTCATGCAAACGCAAGCAAATGCATAGGGATCTTTTATCTCACTTTAAACCTGACACAGACAGCGGCCCAGCAAACCTACCAGGCGAACTCCGCCCCATTGGGGCGCCCGCACAGCTTCCTCGGTGGGCGCCCGCGGTTGCTTGCTTGGAGGCGCTGTACTTCGGTTCATCAGCGTCCTTTCGCCGGATGCTCAGGGGGTTTCCAGTCGTTGGCTGCGGCCAAGTCACAGGGTGACGAATCACCTCCTACACATGCCACTCGCCACACGGGCATGTGTCAGAAGTCTCCGATTCTAGAGCCGGTTGCTGATTCAAGGGTGTGAGAAGGCAGGCTCTGGAATATGGGAGATAGATCTAAGTTCAAATCCTGTTTCGGCACTAGTGCAGTGAGCTGCTTGTCTCTGACGTGTGTTTGTAACAGGGGCTCAGGACAGGATGAGGGCTTGACAGAAGGGCTGAGCCAGAGCAGGAAAGGAAGAGAGAATTTGTGTAGTAGAGGTGACCTGACCCCATCCCTTCCACAGCAACCAGAGGACAGGAGCACGAACCCAGGATGGCCGCAGATCCCCGAGTCTCTCTAGTGAGCGACTCTCAGCCCAGAGAGTGGGATTCTGGCGCTCCGACATGCACACTTTTCTTACAGTGCGTCCTCTGAATGCCAGCCCTGAACTCAGCTGCACCTGAGGCTCTGTGGAAAATCGGCCGCCCGCCCCGGTGCTGGGGGCAGACTGGCTGGGCCGCTGCCTCGGGTTTCGTGCAGGCTGTGGGGACGCATTTCAACCCCGTGTGATGCGTGCCTGAGAGGCAGACTTAGAACTGAATCCCTTCATGTGGGACGGGACTCTGCTGGGCTGGCCCTGCGACCTTGGGCAAGAGATGCAAGTGACACAAGTGCTCTTAGCCTCAGGGGCCCAGACTGTAAAGTGAGAGAATCGTATTTCTCTCCTTTTTCAGACCTATTTTTTTCCAGCAGGTCTCCCTCATCCATCCACCCTCCCACCCAGGTATCCATCCACTCTACCATCCATCCATCCACCCACCCTTCCACTTATCCACTCCTCTAGCCGCCCGTTTACCCATCCTTTGTATACCTGTCCATCTGTCCATCCATCCGTCCATCCATTCATCTGTCCATCCACCCATCCACCCATCTATCCATCCACTCATTCATCCATGCATTCACTGGGGATGTAAAATATGTTAAGCCTATTTTGGGAGCTGAAAACCACACAGTTCCTGCCCAAGGGGTTTAGTTTACAGTCTCTCTCGGTGGATTAGACACAGTACGAATAACCTTTCCCGGTGGGATAAGAGGTCTCTAAAGGAGGCACGGAGGTGAGAACTGTCCCCATCGGGCCTGTGCTGCTTCCAGTGGGGGTTCATATGTCTGCGTGACCATTTCTAAACTTTTACCTGTTCTTGTGTCTGTGTGGGGCTGGCTGGGGCCTGTGACCCTGTTCCTTCTATGTCTGTGTCCCCATGTCCACATGTCAGTGTCCCTGTGTCCTGGCATGTGTGCCCACACCTCCCTGTCCCTGAGTCCGAGTGCAGGCCCTGGGCTCCATGCCTGCTTTTGCCCACAATCCCTACGCCCAGGTTGGACAGGGGTCCTCGCACCGAGGGCTCCAGGGAGCAGGCCCTGACCTTGCCTTCCTCCCAGGGAGGACCCGTGGCGTGTGGCCAAGATGGTCAAGTCCTACCTGCAGCAGCACAACATCCCACAGCGAGAGGTGGTCGACACCACTGGCCTCAACCAGTCACACCTGTCCCAGCACCTCAACAAGGGCACCCCCATGAAGACGCAGAAACGAGCCGCCCTGTACACCTGGTATGTCCGCAAGCAGCGAGAGGTGGCCCAGCGTAAGTAACAACCAATGGCAGCCCTGTCTTCCCTGGCAGGCCCGGGACTGTCTGCAGCTTGAGGGTGGGGGCTGGAAGCTTCACCCCACTATTACTCAGACAGGCAGACTCAAGGCAGAGGAAGTCAGGGGGACTCAGTCAGCCTTTATTCCCTATTCTGTGCACGGCCCTCTGGGGGAGGGAAGTTGGGCTGGTTCTGGGCATCCAGAGGTGGATAAACTGGGCCCCTGCCTTCCAAGAGCTGTGTGGTGGAGAAGGGGAGAAGGCCAGTACAGTACAGTGAGACATGCAATACAACACGATAACGAGAACAGCAGGAGCTACAGTTTACAGCCCCCTTACAGTGTGCTAGCTCAGTGGAGACTGCTGCAGAGAGTACACTTCGAGGTGTCGAGCTGGCGGTGGAGCAGAGAGTAATCTGCTCTTCCTCAGGGCAGCAGGGGCATCAGGAAGGCTCACACTAGAAGTATGGCATTTAGACTAAGTCTTAAAGTGTGGGTTGAATTTTGACCCATGGAGATGTAGGGAAGGGTGTTTCAGGCAGTAGGAACAGCATGCATAAGGGCTCAGAGATGAAGTACACGCTCAGGGAATCCTCCACTGCAAACCCACGACGACCTGGGCGCACTGTCTTTCCGGGAAGAGTGGATTTCCTCACTCAGGCCTCATTCCCCACAGACACCCGAGTGCACTTTCACCCTTTTGAGCCTGTCTATGTATAAAATATTTTCTACTGTATCTTTTTATTAGGTATCTAAGTTTTAAAAAAGCAATACACACTGAGTTTTAAAAAAGAGAAAACAAAGTTTTTACGATATCAATTTGATGACCTTCTAAAGCAGCCACCGGCATTCGCAGTCTTGCCAACATCCTTCTAGAGGATGCACTAGCCAGATCCAGGTATCCCGGACTCAGAGTCTTCCTCCCCTTTCATAGAACTGTCCTGTCACTCGTCCGTCCCATGCCCTTGGTGGCCTGCTCAGGGATAATCTGATGGACTAATTTCCATGAAAGTGGAACCAGCTGACAAGGGCCGGTGGGTCTCTTCTCTCCGGGAGAACGCTGCACTTTAGGCTTGATTTCTAAGTCTGGCATGTTGAACACAGCCCTGAATCTACTCAGGAGATATGACTCAATTTTTCTGCTCTCCTATACAACCCTATAACATTTTTCCTTTTTTTAATCCTTACCTAAGGATATTTTTTAAAATTTTTTTATATATTATTTATTTATTTTTAGAGAGAGCGGAAGGGGAGGAGAATAGGAGGGAGATAAACAGTGATGTGTGAGAGATACATTGATTGGTTGCCTCTTGCATACCCCCAGCAGGGGACCTGGCCCACAACCCAAGCATGTGCCCTGACTGGGAATCGAACCAGAGATCTCTAGGTTTGCAGGCTGGCACTCAATGCACTGAGCCACACCAGCCAGGGTCCAAGGATATTTTTTATAAAAACTGATTTTAAAGAGAGAGGACAGGGGAACGGGGAGGGAGGGAGGGAGGGAGGGAGAGAGAATTCAATATGACAGAGAAACATCGATCGGTTGCCTCCCATACACTCCCCAACTGGGCACTGAATCTGCAATGTAGGTATGTGCCCTGACCAGGGATCAAACCCACAATCTTCTTGGTGCATGGGACGATGATCCAACCAACTGAGCCATTCAGCCAGGATAAAAATTATTTTTAAATTTTTTTAAAAGCCTCCCGCTTGACTGCCATGTCTTCTCCTCAGCATGGGTTTTGTGGCTATGCTTACGGGACAGAGGAAAGCAGCTGTGATCTGAGGAGGGAGGGCTGACCTGTGTCCTCCCTCTGTATGAAATGGCTGAACAGTGCGAAAGAAGAGAAAAAGAAGAAAGAAAAAAAAGTCTTTTAAAAGGAAAAATAGTGAGCCTCCCTGCACCTTACCTGTAAAATGGGATGGCATACGTGTCAAATGTGACAAATGCGGATGCTCACCCAGAGCCTTGTGGGATTCTATCCTGGCTCAGCAGAAAACCGTGCAGGGGTTGATTAGTAATGCCTGCCGTGAACACAGGCACACGTGCTGTGTATCCGCCATCTCTGGATTAGATGATTTCTAAGTCTAGCTGTACTCTCCTCTGGCCCAGCAAGCACCCTGGGCATGAGAAAAAATCAGGAGCACGGTCATGACCTGAGACGGGAAGGTGGGGTGGCTGGGGCCCTGCTCACAGCTCTCTGTGCCCGCAGAGTTCACCCACGCCGGGCAGGGTGGGCTGATGGAGGAGCCCATGGGAGATGAGCTGCCGACCAAGAAGGGACGGAGGAACCGTTTCAAATGGGGCCCGGCGTCCCAGCAGATCCTGTTCCAGGCCTACGAGAGGCAGAAGAACCCCAGCAAGGAGGAGCGAGAGGCACTGGTGGAGGAGTGCAACAGGTAGCAGGGCTGGCAGGTAGTAGGGTGGGCTGTGGCTGGGCGGGCACGGCTGGGGAAGGGGAGGGCAGCCCTCAGTCTTGAGGGGGGCACCCCAGTTTCCACTCCTGCCCCGTGTCCCCGAAGCCGAGCTCTGTACCTGGCACACCCCCCACAACCCAAGCAGATCGTGAGAGGGCGCACATCTCATTCGCCCTCACTGCAACCCGGTGGCAGTTCTGTCGCTTTATGATTGGAGAGGCTCAGAGAGGCTAAGTCACTCACGCAAGGTCACACAGCAGGAGTGGGACCGAAGCCCAGGTCTGCTAGCCTCACACACCCCAGGAGAGCGCTACTCCTCCGACTCTCCCCACAGCCCCAAGAGAGGGTTCCTTTGTGCCCGGCCGGGAGGCTCACCAGTGGCTCTTTCTGCAGGGCCGAGTGCATCCAGAGGGGGGTGTCGCCGTCGCAGGCACAGGGGCTGGGCTCCAACCTTGTCACAGAGGTGCGTGTCTACAACTGGTTTGCCAACCGGCGAAAGGAAGAAGCCTTTCGGCACAAGCTGGCCATGGACACTTACAGCGGCCCGCCATCGGGGCCAGGCCCGGGCCCTGCGCTGCCCGCCCACAGCTCCCCCGGCCTGCCCCCATCAGCCCTCTCCCCCGGTAAGGTCCACGGTGAGTGCTGCGTGGGCGGGGGGATTGGGACAGTGGGTAGAGGGAACCAGGGGGGACGTGGGAGAGTTGGGGAGCTCCACCCCAGGTGGCAAAAGGCACCCTAACCTCTTAGCACTTCAGTTGGGGTCCACTCCATTCTGTTTACACTACTCTGTTCACTCTATTCTTCTCCATTCTGCTGACACCACCCGTCATCCCCTCCATTCAGGTCTGTCTGCCCCGCTCCACCCACTGGTCGCGGCTACTTCCGTTCAACCCATTCACTTCCGATGAAATCAACTTGGCTCATTTCAGGGCAATTCAGTTCTGTTCTATGCCGTTCAGCTCACTATCACAGTTTGTTCCTTTAAACTTGGTACAGTTTAGCCCGATCCGATCCCCAATCAACTCAGTTTAAATATAATTCAAGGAAATTCAGTTAAGTTTGTATAGCTCAGTTCAGTTCAACCCAGCTCAATTCGATTCCATTCAGTTCAACTGAAGCTCGATTCAGTTCAGGTTCAGTCCAACTGGATTCAGTGTCATTCAACTAACTCCTATTCTTTCTATGCAGTTCAGTTTGCTGCAGTTGAATGCATTAGCTCCAGTTCGGTTCGGTTCAGCTTTTATTGAACACCTGCTGCATGTCAGGTGTAGCCCTGGGCAGCGGGGCCATGGAGCTAGTAAAGTGCAGCCCTTGTGCTCAGGGGCTGGAAGCAGCTGGCACAGGGCCTGGTGGGAGGCAGACGTGCAAGCGAAATTTGCTGGCTGCGTAAAGAAGAATGGGGCGAGGGGCCTTAGCAAACCGATGCGGTTTGGGGCGATGAGGGCCCTGGAGGGCAGGCAGACGGGGTGCTGAGGCTGGCTACTGCTCCCGCCCCAGGTGTGCGCTACGGACAGCCTGCTACCAGTGAGGGGGCGGAAGTGCCCTCCAGCAGTGGCGGGTCCTTGGTGACAGTATCGGCACCCTTGCACCAAGTGTCCCCCACGGGCCTGGAGCCCAGCCACAGCCTGCTGAACACTGAAGCCAAGCTGGTGAGTGTGCCTCCCTCTCTTCCCCGGGCTGGGAGAAGCGGTCCCCAGGGAAGCAGTGGTGGGGGCCCTGCCCTCACTCAGCTTGGCTTTCCCTCCAAGGTCTCAGCAACAGGGGGTCCCCTGCCTCCCGTCAGCACCCTGACAGCACTGCACAGCTTGGACCAGACGTCCCCAGGCCTCAACCAGCAGCCCCAGAACCTCATCATGGCCTCCCTTCCCGGGGTCATGGCCATCGGGCCTGGTGAGCCCGCCTCCCTGGGCTCCACATTCACCAACACAGGCACCTCCACCCTGGTCATTGGTAAGCTGGTCAGATGGGGAGCATCTGGGTGGGGCCCCAGGACCTTTGCACTGCTGTGGAACCCAGGGCTCCAGGGAAGCTAGTCAGACCTACTTCCTGCCAACATAAGGAGCCAGAGGCTCAGAGAAGGGGAGTGACTCGCCAGGGCCACCTCAGTTAATAACAGGTTCTAGTGCAAAGGTACCTCCTATCTGTCACACCTCCCCCCCAGCCCACTAGCTCTGGGGGGTAGGGAGGGCACCCCAGAGGGCCCGGGGAGGCAGTGGATGCAGTAGCCTGGCTGACCCCTGCCCCTTCCACTCCAGGCCTGGCCTCCACGCAGGCACAGAGCGTGCCGGTCATCAACAGCATGGGCAGCAGCCTGACAACACTGCAGCCTGTCCAGTTCTCCCAGCCGCTGCACCCATCCTACCAGCAGCCACTCATGTCCCCTGTGCAGAGCCACATGGCCCAGAACCCCTTCATGGCCACCATGGCCCAGCTGCAGAGCCCCCACGGTGAGCGAGGGGGGAGGGAGGATCTCCGTGTGTGTGCTGTGTGTGAGTCTGGGAGAGTGCTCTTGTTTCTGGGGGAGGGCTCTGAGGGTGCTCGGGTGACTGTGGCCAGCACGGGTTTCCGTGTGTGTGAATACGTGTGGCTGTGTGTGCATGTGTGTGAGTGGATGCACATCTGGGTGCTCATCAGTGTTCAAGGTGCACACCCATGTCTGGGGACACAGGTCAGAGTCTCTCTCTGAGCCCTTGGGGCTGTATGTATTTCAGAATTCACTGTTTTCAGATTTTTGAAAGGTATGTTGGTGAACATACCATAGATTACATAACTCTCTCAGCTGGGTTTGAGGTAACACTCTCACCAAGCACCACGATTTGATTCCTGCAGCAAAAGGTAGAATTCCAGCAAGTAGATTTTTTTTTTATGGATCATATATATGTTCTTTGGCTTCGACATTTCCTATACTATTTTTAACCTCCTTCTGTCTATCTTCTACCTACTGTTTATGCTACTTATTCTCTGCACCTTTTCCCCCTCTCTCCCCCTCCCACTCCCCTGCTGATAACCCTCCATGTGATCTCCATTTCTGTGATTCTGCTCTTGTTCTAGTTGTTTGCTTAGTTTGTTTTTGTTTTTGTTTTAGGTTCGGTTGTTAATAACTGTGAGTTTGTTGTCATTTTACTGTTCATATTTTTATCTTCTTTTTCTTAGCTAAATCCCTTTAACATTTCATATAACAAGGGCTTGGTGATGATGAACTCCTTTAACTTGACCTTATCTGGGAAGCACTTTATCAGCCCTTCCATTCTAAATGATCGCTTTGCTGGATAGAGTCATCTTGGATGTAGGTCCTTGCCTTTCATAACTTCGAATACTTCTTTCCAGCCCCTTCTTGCCTGCAAGGTCTCTTTTGAGAAATCAGCTGAAAGTCTGATGGGAACTCCTTTGTAGGTGACTGTCCCCTTATCTCTTGCCGCTTGTAAGATTCTCTCCTTCTCTTTAATCTTGGCTAATGTAATTATGATGTACCTTGGTGTGTGCGTTCTTAGGTCCAACTTCTTTGGGACTCTCTGAGCTTCCTGGACTTCCTAAAGTCTATTTCCTTTGCCAGATTGAGGAAGTTCTCCTTCATTATGTTGTCAAATAAGTTTTCAATTTTTTGGTCTTCCTCTTCTCCTTCTGGTACTCCTATGATTAGATGTTGCAATGTTTAAAGATATCCTAGAGGTTCCTAAGCCTCTCCTCATTTTTTTTTTCGATTCTTGTTTCTTCATTCTTTTCTGGTTGAATGTTTCTTTATTCCTTCTGGTCCACACCATTGATCTGAGTCCCAGTTTTGTTCCCATCACTTTTGGTTCCCTGTACATTTTCCTTTATTTCACTTTTCATAGCCTTCATTTCTTCATCTAATTTGCTACCATATTCAACCAATCCTGTGAGCATCCTGATTACCAGTGTTTTGAACTGTGCATCTGATAGATTGGCTATCTCTTGGTTGCTTAGTTGTATTTTTTTCTGGCACTTTGATCTGTTCTTTCATTTGAGCCATTTTTTGGTCTTGGCCTGCTAGTTACATAGTAAGGGGTGGAGCCTTAGGTATTCAATGGGACGGGGCAACCCTTGTCGCTGCCTTGTGATGCTGTACGTGGGGGATGGGTCTGATAGGGAACAATGGTGCTTGCTCTACTCTCTGCCGGTTTTCAGTCACTTCCCCCGCTACCCACAAGCAAATTGGGCTCTTCTGGTGCTGATTTCCCGGTGGGTGGGCTTGTGTACGTTCTAGGACCCTGTTGGTCTCTCCAGCGAACTCTCCTGTGAGGCTGGGAGTCTCTCCCACTGCTGCCTGAACCCCCACAGGTGTTTTCAATCAGAGATTTGAGCCTTTATTTCCCACGCTGGAACCCTGGGTCTCGAGGTCTGTCTCGCCCCCCAGTTGTTCCTCCCACACGAATGCGGGACTGCCCAGTTTGCAATCCGCCGCCTTGCTGGGTCCACCAGCTGCTGCCTTACAGTGAGTCAGTCCTCTCTGCCCAGCTGCCTGTCTCCGCCCCTCCTACCGGTCTGGATGAATATTTCTTCTTTAACTCCTTGGTTGTCGGACTTCCAAACAGTTCAATTTTCTGTCAGTTCTGGTTGTTTTTGTTTTTAAATTTGTTGCTGTCCTTCTTTTGGTTGTGCGAGGAGGCACAGTATGTCTACCTATGCCTCCACCTTGGCCGGACTTAACAGTTTATCAAAGGCTGTGATAAAGGACACAAATGAACGGCCAGATGAAGAGACACAGGATGAGGTCTGGGAGAGTTTGGGGCACAGAAGCTGTTCCTGTGGAGTTGGGGTGTGTCGCCCTCGGTGTGTGGTTGTGTTCCCTGACCAGAAGCTCTGTGATCCCCTGCTGGTGGGATTTCATGGAGTTTCCTCCCATGAGCACAACTGATGATTACCAAGTAGATTAATAAAGACGTAAATAACTTCACATCAGACTCAGCTCGGAGTCTGCCACCAAATGAGTTTCCTAAGTGCCAGCCTTGTGAAAATCTGCTGGTTTTCAGAGCTTTTTGGAGTTTGGAACTGGGGATAAGGGATTGTGGACCAGTGTACACCCCTGTGTGTATTTGCTTGGGTGCGTGTATTTACAAGTGTGATGTGGGTGGTTACGGTTTTGTCTGTTGGTGTGAGAAGTGTCTGTTTTTGGGGGGCGGCTATAGGTGAAACTTTGGGTTACATTTTGGAGAGGCGTCCTGGAGGTGGCGCTAGGCTGCCCTCTGCCCTGCTCATCGCCCCCCACCCCAACCACCGTGGGGCACCGCTCTGCCCCACCCTGAGGCCTGCACTGAGTACAAGAGCACCTGCGCCTCCTTTTCCCTTTCACGCCCGTCGTCTCCAGGTGGCAGGAGGAGCTGGGCTTGGGTTCCTGGCCTTTCCGAGGCTTCTCTCCACCCAGCCAGGGTGGGCGGGCCCTGGTAGCTGGGGAGAGGGTCACAAACCCTCTATCTGGAGCTCCACTTTGGAAATCAGCCCCGAGTGCCATCAGGCCATTTCCCAGGCCTCACGCCCCACTTCCCCCAGAGCACCCAGCCCTGAGGCCATCCCGGGAGAGGTCCGGCCGAGCCCAGGGTGCCACGTCTGTATCCTTCTCTCTCTTCCTCTGCCTTCTCCCTCCTGCACAGCCCTTTACAGCCACAAGCCAGAGGTGGCCCAGTACACCCACACGGGCCTGCTGCCGCAGACCATGCTCATCACCGACACCGGCAACCTCAGCGCCCTGGCCAGCCTCACACCCACCAAGCAGGTAAGGCCCAGGGCTGCCCCTGCGCCTCCCTCGGGCCCCTCCTCAGAGAACCCCCTGGGGACTCAGGAGGCTGCTCTGTTCCCCAGGTCTTCGCCTCAGACACCGAGGCCTCCAGCGAGTCTGGGCTTCACACGCCAGCATCTCAGGCCGCCACCATCCACATCCCCAGCCAGGACTCGGCTGGTATCCAGCAGCTGCAGCCTTCCCATAGGCTCAGCGCCAGCCCCACAGGTGCGCGGCCTTGCCCCGCCCCCTCCTTTGCTGTGTGTGCAGCACGGGGGGGCAAACGGGGTGCAGGGCAGGAGGCAGATTTGGGAGGGCACCCTGTGCTCCCCTGAAGTGAGTCAAGAGGGGTGTGGAAAATGGGAGCATCTTACAGGGCCATCTCATTGACCTGGTTAAGGAACAAGACGAAGTCATGGAAGAGGAGGAAATTGGGTGGATGGGCCAAAAGTGGCTCGTGGGTGTGCTGGTTTGGTTTAGGGTTTAGCAGTTTTTTTTTGAATTATTGCGAGCATTTAAAAATCAAGAACTTTCACAAAGAAATCCAGATTTCTCTGGGAAAATCGGAAGGACTCATGTTCCCACATAGTGACAGTGTGTGGGCTTACCAGGCCACCATGTCCTACTCGACCCGTTCATTTCCAGGCCCCTACAATCCCAGTCTGCAACCTACAAGGTCACGGTGAAGACCAGGCACTTTAGAGCCAGGCTGCTGGGCTCTGAGGCCTGGGGCGGCCACTTACTAAGAGAGCGACTTTGGGCAAGTTGTCCCCCCTCTGTGAGCCTCGGGTTCCTCCAGGCAGCCCTGGTGGCTGCAGAGACAGTTACTGAGGGATTCATGGTCCAGGCTCCCTGCTTCCCCCATGAGGTACCTGTCATCACCCCCATTTTACAGATGAGAAAGCAGACACTCAAGGTGAGGGACTTGGCCTCGCCTCTGACAGCTACGAGGTGGCAGGGCCAGGACTTGAACCCAAGTCCAAACTCCAAGCCTGCTCTCTCTTAACCATCTGAATCAGCCAGGCTTCTCCCGACACAGAAGCAACAGGAATGCGTGCACATTTAAGGAGCTGGCTCACACGACACGGGGTGGGGGCTGTAGGGCCGGTCAGGGGGCTGGCCTCGTGGGCAGGAGTGGACGCTGCAGTCCTGCTTCGGCTCCTGAGGCCTTCAACTGATTGTGCAAGGCCCACCCACATTACTGAGGGGTATCTCCTTTACCTAAAGGCAACTGACTGCAGGTGTTAAAACAAAATGCCTTCCCAGCAACCCTTTGATTAGTGTTTGGGTCAGTGACTGGGCACTACAGCCTAGCCAAGCTGACGCATGTCACCAGGGCTTCTCCAACATTCCCACTAAAAGGCCTGGGGAGGCTACTCTCTGGGTGGCCCCAGAGCCCAGCTGGGGGTTGATAAGATGAGGTCCCATCTCCCCTGCCCCCAGCGCCCCCAGTGCCCCGGGGATGAGTGGGAGGGGTCAGCATGGGCTTGGCGGGCAGCCAGCAGCTTCATTTGCCTCCGCAGTGTCCTCCAGCAGCCTAGTGTTGTACCAGAGCTCCGAATCCACCAATGGCCACAGCCACCTGCTGCCGTCCAACCACAGTGTCATCGAGACCTTCATCTCCACGCAGATGGCCTCTTCTTCCCAGTAACCACAGCAACCACCTCCCAGGGGCTGGCACCTGGAGAGTGCACGGTCTGCTGGGGTTGGGGGCGGGGTGGCCAGAACATCTGAGCCCACACGTTTGCTCCCACAGAGCTGCTGCCCTTCCCTGGAAAACCGTGCCTCGGTCGCCATGCATCCCTGCCAACGCCACAGAGGGAGGGTCCCGAGGTGCCCCAACCTGAGCAGGGCTGCTTCAGTGCACGAGGGGGCCTGTGGGAAGCTGGAAGCCAAGCCTGATCCTGGCAGGGCACGGGAGGGGCTGTTCCTGCTGCTCTGGGTAAACCTTGTCCCTCAGAACAGAGCAGGACAGGCTTGGGACTCTGGTGCACCCAGCCCAGGCCTGCGCAGAGCCCCAGCACTGCAAAGGGAACTCTGCCAGCCACTCTTCTCAGAACACAAGCCCGTGTAGCTGTGACTCACTGAGCTCTGAGAGCGGCCCCTCCCTGTCACCTATGCCCTGTCCAGGCCACTCCATCCTGTTCCCCTTCCTGCTACTAACCCTCATGCCCACTGGAACCCTCCCCCCATGCCCATAACTGAGGGGGTACCCGCCGGAGGGCCTGCGGCTCAGATGCTGATGGCACAGGCACAAGGGCTCTCCAGCCTCCCTCAGCTGGGGCCATCCTTCCCCTGGACCTCATGACCTCCAGTTTTCTGGGATGTTCATTCCTGCGTTCCCGAGCATCATGCCTTCTGACGCCAGCCTGGCTTCTTGCCTCTGTTGAGAAGCGCCCTCAAGGCTAGGAAGTCAGTTGTTCCTGCTCCTGTGGGAGCCTCTCGACTCCGTACCTGGTGCTAAGTCCTGGGGCGGCAGACCCCTCTGGGGCCCTGCAAACCCTCTGCTGGTCAGGGGAGAAGCTGCTGAGCTCAGAAGGCAGCAAGGCCTGAGCAGCTGGCAGAACGGAGATGCCCAAAGAAGAGAGGTGACACCAGCAGAGAGGAGCCACCTGTGTAGACCAGACTGATGCCTGGAAGCGTGGGGGCCTGGACGGCTGAAGGATGGGGAGAGGTCCAGGCACATGCAGCCCCAAGGGCTCCGAGGCTGCAGCTGTAGCCTGGCCCTCGGAGGAGACCACCTCCATCTCGGGGCTGAGGAAGCGCTACAGCCCCTGCAGTTTGCAGCCAGCTAAGGGCAAACCTGTGCATTATTTAACTTTTAGTAAAGTAAATGAGGAACATATTGGAAATCTCTTGCTTGTCCACACGTCGCCCAGATGGGTTGGGCAGGCAGAGCGAGGCGGAAGCGGGCCAGAGGCCAGAGGAGAGACAGGTGCAGCACACACACTCCGCACCCCGCCTTTCTTGCTCTGCTGAATCTCCAAGGCAAGGCAACAAAGCCAGAACTTTACCTTCACCTTGGCCTTCTGCTCCTTGCAGGACAGCCCTGGTGCACAAAACCCAGCCCACAAGTGCTGTGACACTTTCTTAAATCTTAAAGCTGGGGTGCAGAAACCCACCTTAGGGTGTAGGCAGGAGGACCCACCTGTGGGATGCTTATTGAAAGTGTCTCATTAAGACTCAGCACTGACCAGGAGGCAGCCCCCAAGTCGTTTTGTCACGTGTTCTGTCTGACAACTTGGTTGGGACGCGATCGTGTGTGGCACGTTCACAAACGTGGACAAAGAAAATTCTGGAAAACGAGGGGATAAAAATCTCTCCTTTCTCAGACAATGTTACATCTGGTCTCTGTGGCATAGAGGGAGAAGTGTAAACTCTGAGCCTTGGCGCCTCGGGGACCCGGCCCTCATTTTCTTATGCCTGTCCCCGACACCAGGCTGAGGAGGAGGGGGAGAAGGAAAAGGTCTCCCTTCACTCGCCCCCCGCCGACAGGACCGGGGAGATGGGGCTTTGCCCCCGGGCATCAGTCTTGAGTAACTAGAGGGCTCCTTCCTCCCGAGACCATGTAATGTTCTGGTACCACAGGTCTGCCCCGGCCCCCCAGGGAAGCACAGGAGGTCAGGCTTTGCTTAGGCTTCTCACTCTGCAACCATGGCTTCTCCCTGACTCTTGGGCAAACCCGAGTCAGGGGCAGAGTCTGGACCTGCCAGCCGAGCCCTTGGAAAGGCCCGTCGCGGTGGGCACCTCATCGCTGGGACTGGCTGGGCCCCGTGCCCGAAGTCAGTTTGCAGGTGCAGCTGCTGCACCCCTCGATAGTGGGCATGGGGAAGCCTCGCTGGCCTTCTTCGCCTTTTTCTTCTTTTTCTTCTTTTTGGTCCCAAGCGACACGTCTCCATTGAACTTGGCCGACTCCTTTTCCTGCTTCCCAACTGTGGCCTTGCTAGTGGTGGTGGTGGTGGCGGCCGTGGTCGAGTCCGCACTGGCCTCCTTCTTGGCTTTCTTTTTCGACTTTTTCTTCTTCTTTGCCTCCTTTTCCACCGTCACAGGGCCATGGATGGCGGACTGCCGGAGAATGTCAGAAGCGGACACAGCCGCCTCCCGGCACCGCTGCCTCTCCTCATCGCTGTCCTCGCTGCTGCTGCTGCTGCTGCAAGGAGAGGGCGGTCTGGGTCAGCAGGGACGGAGCCCCAAAGCTGCCCTTGGACAGAGGCCGCAGGGGCAGGCAGGGAGAGAGCCCAGGCTCAGGAGTGAGGCGGACCTGAGTTCCGACACTGACTTCTCTGCTTTCTAGCGAGGTGACCTCCTAGAGTAACCTCTCTGACCCTATGTGTCTTCGCCTACAAAATGGGGATCTTCGCGGAGCCCAGGCCGCACGAGGATGTCCAAGGGGTGAGGCATCTGGACAACACAGGTGCTGGAAAAGCAGGAAACCTCCAGAGCCAGCCCCCGGTTGAACCTCTTCCCCTCCCACGGAGGGTACCATTTCTACCTGACTGGAGCTCCCCCACGGGGCCCCGCCTCGGCCTGGACCTCACTGAAGTCGGCTTGGCTATTCTGGGACACCGGCCAACCAGAAAATGGGCAAAGATGAGGGACCTTGAGGAGAGGGTGTGTGACCTCACCTGGAGCTGGAAGGCAACCGCTTCCGGCGGGGCTGGGGTGCAGCTTTCTCCTCGGGGCCTTCAGGGACGGAGGTGAAGAAAAGGCGGAAGCCTGAAACCCAAAGGGGCAGAGTCAGCACAGCCAGGTGCCGACCCCTCAGCCAGGTGTCAAGGCTGCCCTGCCTGCTGCCCTCAAGGTGCTCCCAGTCCAGAGGCGAAGACCCGGGACCCGCTCTGTCTAAGCACACAGTGATGCCTCGTGTGATGACGGGCGTGCCGGGGACAGCTGGCGCCAGAGGACAGGGTGCGGAGGCGCGGCAGCTGCCAGATCGGGTCGGCAGTGTGGGAGCCAGCAGGGGGCCTCCTGCCTAAGGAAGCTTCCAAAGTGGCAGATGAGTCTGGCATGGGACAGACAGACTCAGACAGGTGGGGCTGTGCAGCGTGGAGGTGAGGCACTCCTGCTCCGAGCCAGACAGGTGAGGTCAGCTCAGGCAAGTGCCTTCGTTCCTCAGAGCCTCTGCGTCCCTTCCAGTGCCCCCTAAGTGTCTGCCTCGGAGCAGGCTGCACGGATGAGAGACGGCGATACAGCAACACTGTATCTCCCAGCTCCAGGCACGTAGCAGGTGCTCACTAAACACAGCTGCTATTAACAGTGCGGCTACTCACCATCATCCTCCGGGGGGACTTTCCGCGCCTTGGCCTTTGTTGGCTCCTTTACAACCTCGGAGATGGTAATGGAGCTGAGGGAAGAGGAGATGGTTGACTTAGGATGAGATTTGGGGTACCAACAAACAGTTTTTTAAATTATTTTTTGATTTTAGAGAGAGGGGAAGTGAGGGAAAGAGAGGAACACTGATGCAAGAGAGAAACATCCATCAGTTGCCTCTTGCATGTGCCTGGACCAGGGGACCGAGCTGCAACTCAGGCATGTGGCTGGACCAGGAGTCAAACTGGCGACCTTTTGATCTGCGGGACGATGCTCAGCAAACTGAGCCACACAGGCCATGGCTAAAAATGTGAAACGATTTCTTTTTTAAATGGAGGGAATGCGGCATGTCATCCTAGATGCAAAGGCGGACAGCACACTGGCCTGAGGAGCAGGCCAACCCTGTAGCCACAACCTGCGGAACAGCCCCTGCCAGCGCACACTGCTCTTCTTCGCTTGCTTACACCCCGCTTTATTCCAGAAAACGCTGAGGGCTTTTAAGGTACTCACAGCACAACAAAGCGAATATAACTCCAAGGAGGGAAAACAGAAAATAAACGCAGGAGGGACAGAAAGAGCCAAAGTGTGCTTCGGAAGTCCTGTACGCTTGCTCGAGAGAGGACACACATTTCGCCCCAAGCTTCCTGACAGCAAGTGTGAAAAGGGAAATAGGACCAGTCTGGAGAGATGGTTCAGAGGCCAGCTTAAAGAGCAGGGTGGACCTGGTTTTTAATTTTTTAATTTTTAATTTTTTAAAAAATTTGAGATAGCTGTAGATTGATATGCAGGTCCAAGTAAACATACAGGTGCCAGGTACTCTTTGCCCAGGTTCTCCCTATGGTAACACTGTGCATAACTGCTGTTCAGTATCACTACCAGAAAGCATATAATCCACTGGCCGTATTCAGACTTCAGAGGCCTGGGTTTTGTTTTTTTTAAATATATTTTCTTTATTATGCTATTCCAGTTGTCCATGTTCCCCCTTTCACTCCCCTCCACCCTGGTCACCCTCTCCCACCCACATCCCCCCCTTTAGTTCATGTCCATGGGTCATACATGTAAGTCCTTTGGCTTCTATATTTCCCATACTATTCTTACCCTCCCCCTGTCTATTTTCTACCTACCATCTATGCTTCTTATTCTCTGCATCTTTCCCCCCTCTCCTCCTCCCACTCCTCTGCTGATAACCCTCCATGTGATCTCCATTTCTGTGGTTCTGTTCCTGTTCTAGTGGATTGCTTAGTTTGTTTTTGTTTTTGTTTTAGGTGTGGTTGTTCATAATTTTGAGTTTGCTGTCATTTTACTATACATATTTTTTATCTTCTTTTTCTTAGATAAGTTCCTTTAACATTTCATAAAATAAGGACTTGGTGATGATGAACTCCTTTAACTTGACTTTATCTGAGAAGCACTTTATCTGCCCTGCCATTTTAAATGAAAGCTTTGCTGGATAAAGCATCTTGGATGTAGGTCCTTGGTTTTCATGACTCGGATACTTCTTTCTAGCCCCTTCTTGCCTGCAATGTTTGAGAAATCTGACAGTCTGATGGGAACTCTTTTGTAGGTAATTCTCTCCTTTTCTCTTGCTGCTTCTAAGATTCTCTCCTTCTCTTTAATCTTGGGTAACTTAATGATGATGTGCCTTGGTGTGTTCCTCTTTGGGTCCAACTTCTTTGGGACTCTCTGAGCTTCCTGGACTTGCTAGAAGTCTATTTCCTTTGCCAGATTGGGGAAGTTCTCCTTCATTATTTGTTCAAATAATTCTTCCACTTGTTGCTCTTCCTCTTCCTCTGGTAGCCCTATAATTTAGATGTTGGAATGTTTAAAGATGTCCTGGAGGTTCCTAAGCCTCTCCTCATTTTTTAAAAATTTTTGTTTCTTCTTTCTTTTCTGTTTGGTTGTTTCTTTCTTCCTTCTGGTCCACTCTATTGATTTCAGTCTCAGTTTCCTTCCCATCACTATTGGTTCCCTGTACAGTTTCTTTTATTTCACTTAGCATAGCCTTCATTTTTTTATCTAATTTGCAACCAAATTCAACCAATCTTGTGAGCATCCTGATTACCAGTGTCTTGAACTGTGCATCTGACAGGTTGGCTATCTCTTGGTTGCTTAGTTGTATTTTTTCTGGAGTGTTGATCTGTTCCTTCATTTGGGCCATTTTTTTTGTTTCATGCGCCTGTTACGTAAGAGGGGCAGAGCCTTAGGTGTTCACCAGGGCAGGGCAACCCAGGTCACCGGGGTTGTGATGCTGTATGTGGGGAAGGGGTCTGAGAGGGAAGAGTGCCACTCGCTCAGCTCCCTGCCGGCTTTCAGTCACTTCCTGCACTTCCCACAAGCAAACTGGGCCCTTCTGGTGCTGATTCCCGGGTGGGCTGGCTTGTGTACGTTCTAGGACCCTGTGGTCTCTCCAACAAACTCTCCTGTGAGCCTGGGAGTTTCTTCCACTGATGCCTCAACCCCCACTGGTGTTTTCTTTTTTTTTTTAATTTTTATTTATTTATTTTTAGAGAAGGGAAGGGAGGGAGAGAGGGAGAGAAATATCAATGTGTGGTTGCCTCTCATATGCCCCGCACTGGGGACCTGACCCACAATCTAGGCATGTGCCCTGACTGGGAATCAAACCGCTGACCCTTTGGGTCAATGGATGGAGCTCAATCCACTGAGCTACACCAGCCAGGGCCCCACTGGTGTTTTCAATCAGTGGTTTAAGGCTTTATTTCCCCACACTGGGGCCCTGGGTTGTCTGGTCTGTCTCGCTCCCCAGCTGTTCCTCTGGTTTATCTGCGTGCAAATGTGGGACCACCCGCTCCACCAGCCACTGCCTCACCGGTCCGCCCAATGCTGCCTTCCCAGC